TAAGAATCAGCGTCTTGAAGAGGTGAGGAGACAAGAACATGACCTATTGGAGTCTAAGCAAGAACCTTAAAGGAACCACCTGATGAGGGATGTGATGCCCACTCTCATCCAAGTTCTCATTGAATGCTGTGGAATACGCCCTGACGACCCCATAAACGTCCTGGTTGGTCGGTCCTCTTAATAATATTTACAATTTATTAATTTGTTTTTCGGGATTTTTTTTAAAATTTGTCACTATTTGTACCTTTCAGGCTGAGTACCTTCTCAAAAATAATCCTGAAGTGTAATCGTAAAATGTGGACATTATTTGCCCTGGGGTTTCAGCAGCAAGTATAACTTCTGTTATATCATTTTTGTTCTAGAGAGGTTTATTTCAGTCTTAATGTTCATTTAAAATCAAAATCATTAAGACGGTCCTTGATTATAAATAATAATTATACCATTATGCTACAATGAATAAATACAATGTAAATCAAATAGAAAAACGAATTTCTTTCACTGTGTTTATCTACCTATGGATTTAAAATGCACAAAAAAAAAAACACAATGAAAGGTTGATAGAATGAAGCTGATAATTGGAAGTTCATTTGTGGAAAGTATGTCCATCTTGTCATGATTAGCCTGATTTGTCCTCTGCTTTCAAAGGTTAAATGTTACAAATGGCAGATAATTAACAGACCCTTTTAGCTAGCACATAATTAATTTCATTAGTAAAATAAACTAAATACTGCATTTTAGGAGGTTCTGTAGCTCCTTCAGTTCACGTTTTAATACGATAATAAATTAACGTAGTCCTTAGCGCTAGTTTCTCTATTCTCAAATAGAATAATATAATACTAACCAATACAATGCAGAAGGTCCACAGAGTGTGCAAGAGTCCAGTTTACAGCAGGCAATTACAATACTCCAAGACATGAGGAAAAATAGGGTAAAAGGCAGCAGAAGGTGGCAATAAACAATAAACCAGGTAGGAATTTACAAGTCATGTGCAACCATAATAGATGTACAGCTGCTAAGGACAAGATTGTGTATGACAAAGCACAGGTGCTTGAGGTTAGGCAGAAATATTAGCTGTCTGTAATATGGATGGGCCCAGAGTGAGAACTGTTTATGAATCTGTTGATCAGCACTTTTGATTCAGAGCAAACTTTTTAAAATATCAGCCCTTTGAGTCAGTAAGAGTGTCAATCTGAAATTCAGCTACTCAAATAGGCAAACATCTGTGATCGGAGGTATAATTTAACAAGCTTCTCTGATTTTTACATGCATTGAAAATATTGCAGTAAGAAAAACTGATCATATGTAAATATGCTGTAGATAGCATATCATAATCTTATGGCATGTTTGAAGACCAAAATTAATTGTACAGTTTTTCTTAGTTTACCTAAAATGTTTACTTGAAAACCAATAAAAATATGTGACCCTGGACCACAAAACCAGTAATAAGGGTCAGTTTAAATAAGCTTTCCATTGATGTATGGTTTGTTAGGATATGACAATATTTGGCTGAGATACAACTATTTGAAAATCTGGAATCTGAGGGTGCAAAAAAAATCAATATTGAGAAAATCGCCTTTAATTTGTCTAAATGAAGTCTTTAGCAATGCATATTACTAATCAAAAATTAAGTTTTGATATATTTACGGTAGGAAATTTACAAAATGTTTTCATGGAACATGATCTTTACTTATCCTAATGATTTTTGGCATAAAATAAAAATCGATAATTTTGACCCATACAACGTATTTTTGGATATTGCTACAAATATACCTGTGCTACTTATGACTGGTTTTGTGGTCCAGGGTCACATATATACTTTAATATATACTGTACACTATCATTAAAAAGTTCAGGGTCGGTGAGATTTTTTTGTAAAAAATCTTTATTTATTATAAATATTTTTTTCTCATATTTGATGAGAAAAACTTTTTAACTTTTGGTAGTTTATACTGTTTAAAGCTACAATTATTTTAAGACTTTAGCAGGTTACTATATATGTATATACCACTAGATGGCACTCCTACCCAAGCAATTCAAGATATTTCTGTTCCTTTAGATTTCCCACCAATACCAGGAGACAACCCAGATGACCACATACTGTGGAAACATTTATGTATGTTAAACAGGTAGGCCTGAGATTATTCTGCAATTGCAAACTTTTATAAATATCAATATTAACGTTTTTTTGCACTGCATTCAAACATATTTGCACCTTTTAGATCAACAAAGCATCAATAATCAAGAAAGCATGCCTATTGATAATATAATAGAAAAATTAATTCAGCAGCAAGTATAAATTATGTTATGTTTTCGAGAAAAGTTTATTTCAGTCTTAATTAACAAATGTTTATATATATTTGTTAATGTAATTATTTTGAATAATACTTACACAGTAATGCTACAAGGAATAAATACAATGCAAATCAAATTGAACAATACATTTACCTACCTATATATTCACATTTTAAATGCATATATATATATATATATATATATATATATATATATATTGTGAATATATATATATAATGTGTATATATATATATGTTCCACTTATTTGTTTTTTTTTCCCCCCGCATTTTTGTGTTCAACTATATTTGCATATTTGGATCAGTAAAGCACATGTCTTATTAGTATCAGGAACAAAATATGTCAAATATAAGTACAGAAGTCTGTGCAATTGTGTTTACTCATGTCACTACATTGGATGCCTGAGTATCTCTGGCTGCAAACAGTCAATCCAAAACCCTGTCTGCATTTGGAGGGGGGAAAGTGTTTTGTTGCTTAGGAACAGTTGTGTCTGTGTCGCAGTGGGGGTCTCCTTGTGAATATCATTATGTTCCCTTCAATCGACAAAAATGACACGTTTTTCTTGTCTGCCAATATTTATCATTGGCTGCACTCACTTGCAGGGCCTGCAAATGTCTTTTTATTGATTACAGGGCAGATTCTTGGATTATAACTAACTTTGTATCAACATAATATTCTAGATATCTACAATGAAAGGTCTTTTCATGTTGACAAACTACGAGAACATAAGAAAAAAGTAAAATACATATGGTTATTTTGTTAAATATACCCTGTTTTTGCCCATAAAAAGCTTGGAAAGTCAAAACTAAATCTCACCGAGTGAAAGAAAGCGAGATTGATCCATTTTCTCCTGCAACAATACAGCAGTGATAATAATTAAAGATCATTTTGAAGGCGTGAGATGTAACTGTATATGTTCTGTTGCTCACAAATAAAACAGACGGAGCAGGTGAGGCCAGAGGACGTGGCGAGGAGCGGAAAGGTACCCGGCGAGTCTGCACCCTGCGACTGATTATGTGCAGGATCATGTTGACAGGAGGAAGGAGGAGATGCAGCCACACATACAGCAGGGATGCTGGGTGCCTAGGCCGGAAATTCATCAAAATGGGGGAACACCTCCAAGAAATGTGCGTCAGACGGTGTGTGCTCCGCTCGCATCGTCCCTTTGGAAAGTCAGTGAAATTTTCCAGTGATTGATGACGGCTAGGAAGGGGGTCAGTAAGAACAATGTGCATTATTAATAGAGTGGACTGTCCTCTATAATTGCTTACCTTGAAGTCAAAATATGATAATTATAAATTTACACATTTGAACAAGACTTTCAAGCTTCTGAATGTGTTGGTTTATTAAGTGCGTGTGTGTGTGTGTGTGTGTGTGTGTGTGTATAAATATATATGTAGTTGAAATATAACTTTTTAACAAATATTTTATAAAATATAGCTTTTTCACCAAAATTTTAACTTTTTTAACCTTTTTAAATTTTTGCCTTTTTATGAATCGGTTTGTTTCATAAAGCTAAAATATATTTTATAATATATTTCTTCATTAACAAACTTTCTTGATATTATAATGTATTTATTTAGGTTTGATTGTGTTTTTATTTACTTATTTTTAATTTTTCACATGTTTGTTTATTAATTGTTTTGTATTTCATAAAGCTATATAGGCTCGATTGTGACAACTTACCCCACACAGTATGACAACATGCCATACTTTTGGGTCAACGTGTTAACCCAAACACGTCTTTTTTTTCTTTAGGCCATGACAGTGGCCACATTTCATTTTATATTTTCATTTTCATTTTATTTTTGCTTGTATTTTAGCAAATATTTTTGTGTTTGTGCCTCCACAGAAATTGACTGAGAGCAGGTGCTTATTAACAACTGTCCAATTTCTTGGGCTCTGACGGAAAAATGTTTGACATTTTATCTTTGAGTACAGCCGTACACGCTGCATCATTCCCAGCGTCTGTGCATCTGTTCCCAACATCCTTACGATCAGGTTTCAAAGTCTGTTTGTTCCAGAGCCGGGGTGGGTTGAAGCTGGTTGGGCGATGTTCGGCAGCGGAGTTGGTGAGATGGAAACCTTTGTTAAAAACATCAGGTAGAGCGTGGGGGGGCTGTTGGCACAGCGGCGCTTGCCCCCATGCTGTTCTGTCAATCTGCCCCTGCCCCGTGCCGAGAGGAGGAGGGGGGCAGACACCAGGGGGGCCAATCCTCCATGAGACCCAAATCACGCCAGACGAGGAAAGATGGTCCCTGGCTAAATACAGTTATCCCCCCTCATCTGTCAATCAAGAAATCTTTGAGTAATTTGGGATTTGCCAAAAAAAAACATTCAAATCTCTGAGTGTGAGTACTGTAGTTTTTGATATGCAATGCATCTGGAACAGTTAATATTTCTGATGCTTTCTTATTTTAGAAAGGCCTTTACTTATTTATTCATTCGTTTGAATAAAAATATCTTCAACTTAGTTTAATTTTTTATTTTTTACAGTTTATAGCTTCTTTTTTTGAAGAATGAATAGGTTAACATCATTAATTGGTAATTAATTAATGACATGTGTTGGAGAAATTAAATCTAATTGATTAAAAAACACACAAGCCTATTTTTAAACACTATAATTACGTAGAGAGTGTGGAAATGTTAACGGAAATTCAAATCAAATTTACAAACTCAATCTCGGATTTCAAACTCTCATTTATTGCATTTCAGAAGGTTGTTTTTCGTTTACCAAACATATTCTTAATTACCTTGAATTTAAAGACACACGGCAGATGGTATTTAGTGCGAGTTCCACAAAAGATGCCTATATTTTCAGATATAACACCTTTTCATGTGCATCCACAACGTAAACCGAACGAAAAAGCGTTTTGTCCTTTGTTGTTGGCTAGTGTTGAGTAGCGCATGTAAACTAAGACCTGCGCAGAGGTAAATCCCAGCTTCTTAAATTTAACATATGTTCTCCTTCCCACACATTGTGATTCTCTGCACCAGCAGTAAACGATACATGTGAGGGAGTTTGAGGCACTCGTCTTGTCATCCAGACGACGATACGCTACATTAGCAGACGCAGGCAGGGAAGGGGCCTCATACATGAGTGTGAATATTAGAGGAGATGGAACCCGAGCAAACAGGATTTAGAGCACACCTCTGTATCAACACAGATTTAGTCAGCGTCACCCTCCGGGGACACAAAGAGAGATGGAGGGAGAGGCTTCTCTTCATTTCGAGATGATTCACGTTGGGAGTGGGCTTGCAAAATTGCTTTATGGAAAGTGGAGGAAGCCTCGGCGGGAACATTAGGCAGGAAACAGCAGGAGGGCCACTGTTTCATTAGGGAGAGAGGCTTTGGCTTTATTACCAGGATTTGGAGTTTTATGGTTATCGTTATTTGCCATAGAATTATTATGCTTATATGTCTTCTAGTCAGCTGTTTGGGTGGGGAGTGGATAGGTGGTCTCGGCGCTGTCGGCCGAGTCTGGAGAAGCGGGCCGCAGAGCCGTCCCCTTGGCGGCCATTGTATTCGCCGCGCACACATCGGAGATCCTGCTCACCAGCATCTTCTGCGTTTCGAGCAGGAAGTCCTCCTATGAACAGAAAGTGATTGAGTTATTGCTTATTCATTTGTAATGTGATACGGCCCTGTTTCTTCATCAATGCTCCATCTGACATTACTTTGGCATTAGCTTGTAGGAAATTGACGTGATGAGTGAGAGTAGAAAAACAATTGCTACTCTGGTTGGCATGTTCAATTTAGTAGCAATGAGTTACAAAAAATGAGAAGCAAATCATTACAATTGGAATTTGAATCCAGAATTTCAAGTGAAGGCTGAAAAGTTTGTCAACAGATTTCGCTCTTGTTCAAGTTGGTCATGCAAATTGTTGCTCGGTGAAATCCAGGCATTCCAATTGGTATTCGCAAGATCAGAGTTTTGCATGAGGGCGGAAAAGTTTGCTAAAGATTTTGCTTATGATCAACTATTTCTGTTAACATTTTCTATTGGAATCTGTGTAATCGAGAGTTTTGCGTGAGGGTGAAACATTTCTATATGCAGATTTCGATCATGTTCAAGTTTGTCATGCGAATCGTTGCAAAACGAAATCCCATTCCAATAGGGATTTGCACAATCTGGAGTTTTGCATGAGGGCAAAAAAGTTCGCAAAACTGATTTCAAGTGATCTGAATTTCCTTTAACATTTTTCAATATTGCACAGTTGGGAGTTTCATGTGAGGGCCAAAAAGTTGGCCACGTAGTTTTCGTTCAAGTTGGTTATGCAAATTCTTCATGCTGACCAACAGAAAGCAGCTTGGTTTGAAAAGGACTTCTGTCTGAGCAGCGCTTCATATATCTCTACGCTACTGACAATGGACCTTTTTTTTGCACACAAAATTTCTCTGTGACCGCACCTTTCCTCTTGATAAATTATCACCGAGATGATCGGGTCTCGCCGGTGTGATACCTAATGGTGGCAACGATGGGCCCTGCCTGGAAGCGGCGCCGTCTTGCGGTACCAACCTTTCCGACCCCAGCGGAGCGCGGTGCTGCAGTGTACCGTGCAGGCTGCCCACCCTCCCTTCCGGGCGGGCCGTCTGCAGCAGAGCAGTTAATAAAGAGATTGATTATCAGCCTGTCAGGAAGTGACAGTTGGACAGAGCCACTCCCCATGAATGACAGAGGGCACGTACTGCTCTCAGCAGCCAAGAGCGCCAGAACCAGCACCGCGCCACCAGCACCTCCGCACCATGCCAACCTTGCTGCGGGGAGGAAGGGCCCCGCCGCGAACACAGCCATCGCCTTCTGGAGCAGCAGCTACACGGCTGCTGACTTCACTTCCTGTGCCAGAGTCAGAGTTCAACGCCGCTGCCTGCAGCAGACTGACTGCCGGGCTCCGAACAACATACGTGAACATTTTTTTCATGAGATGCCACATTCACAGAGTAGAAAAATTCAAGCAAATATCTTGTTCTTCAACTTCAGATACTTTTATGTCAATGATGGACTTTTAATAAAAGTTTACATTTTTATTTATATGAAAGTTACATTAAAACTGTCTTGGAAACTTCCTTATTTTTGGTAACTTTTCAAGTGACTTTTATGTATAGACTTGATTGTTTTATCCTTTTCCCAGTTTCAGAATTACAAATGCATCATAAAAATATAAATTATTAAAATTTTAAAACTATGATCATCTAAAGAGATAAACATAATTCCAATATTTAAACATTTCAATGTTTGATATGATTATCTGGTAGGATTTTAAAAGTGTTTGAAATAAGTTTAAGGAGGTATTCATAGTTGATTGCAGGTTTACATTTCACTGTAATATTGCATGTTATGATGTGTGTTACCATTGTTGAGATTCATAGTGCAAAAGTGCAGTGCTGACTTGCCAGTCAAGTGTTGTTGTTAACTGCATACCTGACTTAGTTTTTGTAGTGTAACAAAAAAGTATCATGGTTTCCACAAAAATATTAAACAGCACAACTGTTTTTAATATCGAAAATAAGAAATGTCTTAAAGGAGACATATTATGCCCCTTTTTACAATATGTAATATAAGTCTCTGGTGTCCCCAGAATATGTCTGTGAAGTTTCAGCTCAAAATACCCCACAGATCATTTATTATATCATTTTGAAAATGCCCATTTTGAGTGGAAGCAGAAACACGCTGTTTTTCAGGCCTGTCTCTTTACATGCAAATGAGCTGCTGCTCCCCGCCCCCTTTTCCAGAATAGAGCTGGGCCATTACAGCTCGGACTGCTTTTAGATGTTCTGCTAAAAACATCTGGTTCTGATTATCATGTTTATCGTGCTGAAATCATGTGTTTTAAACCATATTAGTTTAATTTTCTGATATACGGTTTTCTAAGTGCACACGGACAGAAAGCGGCTGTCACAGCATGAGTACTAAACTAAGTTCTCACTCACACACAAGTTTACGTTAAAAACACATGAGCTACAAAAACAGTCGGTTATGTCTGTGACGGTAAATAGCCTGGAAATAAATCACATGTTTATTTTAGATCTGTGTGGCAGCAGCAATATACAGTAAATAAACCAATAAATCCACTGCTCTCTTGCCTCCTCTCAGGCTGGGACTGTAAATAGTGTTCTGTGCTTGTCTGTGCAGCCAAAGGCAGAACAGTTAGCATGTTTTGCTCAAACTTTCGCCATGGCATTAGAACTACTACACCGTTGTCGCTTGTGAAATCAAAATGACGGCACGTGGGTGTAAACTTACAGATTAAGGGGTGGTAATATTATAATGAGATCCGTTTGCCACATCACCAAGGGAGCGAAATCAAGACGCGCTCGTTTTTTCAGATGCTTGCAGAAAAAGGCTTACCAAAACAAAGTTACTGGGTTAGTCTTTTTTACATTTCCTTGGTTGGTAGATGCACCGGGGACCTGATTATAGCACTTACAACCTGGAAAAGTCCGATTTTCATGATATGTCACCTTTACGCACCAAATCAGCATAATAGAATGATTTCTGAAGGATCATGTGACACTGAAGACTGGATTATAAAAAATATAATAAAATAAAAAAGTTATTTAAAATTGTAATAATACGTTTCACAATACTACTGTTTCTACTGTATTTTGTTCAAATGAATGCAGTCTTCCTGAGCATAAAAGACTTCTTTAAAAAAAACAAAAAACATCCCAAAGGTTTAAACCATAGTGTACAAGAGACTCCATAAGAGCAATTAACATCTGTAACAAGTGTATATAAATACATAAAAAATGTATGGCTAAATAAATGTATCCATGCCAATGTCCCAGTGTCAGTATAAAGTACAAGAACATTTTCACATCACATAGCACTTTTTTTTTCAAGTGCAGTTTTAATTGAAGTTTGGGATTGTGACACTTTTAATAAGAATAAATCAATGTTCTCGCATGGGTGATTTTAAACATTTAATTATCATTATAGTCCTGTTTGTTCTTTTTTTTTTTAGCTGATTATCAGTATGCTTCAATGTATGGTGACCTCAACGAGTAAACGTAACTGTTGACCCACTGAGTCTGTTGGACTAGCTTGATTGTGGGACCATATGTTTCAATACTCATGGATTAGCAATAGTGCATTAGAGAAGCAGAAGTGGCTTCTTTCAAATTAATGATTTAGCACCTCACAGGTATACACACACACACACACACACACACACACACACACTCACACATACACAGTTCTATGCCTCATTCGGCCTTGCTTTGTCAGTCCCCCCGAATGAAGGGCTGTCTGCGCGCTGTGGCAATCTCGCGACTGACTTTGTTTGAAGTCACTCTTGTCTGTCTCTTCACCGGTGCGCCTGTCTATTGGCCGCATCCCCCCTTTTTAATGAAACAGAAGCGTTAATAGAATCACTGGGAAAAGCAGGTGATAAAAGTCGATCCGTCGAGCGTGCCTGTATCCTGAGTTGCGAGCGCACTGTTCAAACAGAGCATTGTTCAAAGACAATGCATGCAAAAGACACACAGGCTGCTGAAGGAATAAAAAAAAAAGAGGGAGAGAAAGGGAAATGGAAAAAAGCTGCTCCCTGTCTTCAGCTAGATCAAAACAACTCCAAGGTAAAATATACAATGAAGGGCCCCCTGATCTGACCAGCATCTCAGATGAGAGGAGGATGCAGTCTTTCTGACATGTTACAGAAGGAGAGAGAGAGACGGAAAGCAAAATAAAGAGGCCTCACAAAAGTTTGAGATATTCAGGCCTTATGAATGCATTCATGGAACATTGTACATGCATTACAAATGTCAAATTAACGCCCGCTTGAGCCGAAATGATATTCCGAGCACATGAAATGACCCTCAAAGAGATGAAAAACATCCAAAATGCGAGGTAAACGTGTTTGACTCAGTTCATTTCAGCCCTAATAAAGATATTGCATCCCGGCCTAACAATACGAATGAATTTCGGTCACATTCTGAGGCACGTTTTTTGAAACGTCACCCCGGGATATTTGCGATCAAGTGCTTTTTTTCATACGTAGACAGAGCGAGCTGTCATTTTATCACTGCGGGAAAAACAGAAGTTTCTTTCACACTTCATTGGCCATCGTGGAGATCAATACGGGCACCGGTAAGAGAAATATCAACCGGGGATGGTGCAGAAGTATCTGTAGAAATGGCACCAGGGAGAACGAAATGAAAAAGAGGAGGAGTAAAGCTGCGTTAGAAGGCGACACAGATGGACAAGAGCCTTTACGGTGGCGGCTCCTGCTGGCATGGTGCCACCAGCCCCAGACTCCCTTTGTTTGCCAGGCTACTAAACTAATAGAGATAAAAGCAGGTTCCCGCTGGCCAGGAATTATAAAGTCATTAACGAATACAAATAAGGCTGAGAATGAAGGGGCAAGGAGAGGAGGCTTTCTCAGGCCAGCTGAGTCTGAGAGGAGGGACGCAGTTTGGGGAATCTGTCCGAGGTTGGACGTCTCTGAGTGTGTAAACAACCCTGATTTCCTCTACTACTATTTGATGGTCTAAGAAAAAATGGGTTGTCCTGCCGTGTGACATGATACAACAGCATTTTTACTAATTATTGAACATGCATATATGTTTCTATAATGAATCAGAGATTAT